CGGCTATTAGTAATAGTCACAACCTTTTCCTTTAAGTAGAGATACATGATCAACTTCGTGATGGATTTCATTTTCGTAACAGCCCTGTCCTCGTGCGAGGATAGCGGTATCGATTTAATTCCAGGTGGCAGACTGTCTGATCTAGAATATGCAGACGATATTGTGCTATTAAGTGACGATCCAGGTAAGTTGCAAGCTTTTCTGGATAGTTTGAGTGCTAGTGTAGCCAGGTTCGGCATGCGCTTTGCACCTTCAAAGTGTAAAATGTTGCTACAAGATTCGGTTGGTCCACCACCCAGTCTCATCCTGACTGCGTAAGTAGACAAATCTTGTTATCTGGGTAGCTGTATCTCACCTGGCGGACGCATCACAGATGAAGTGTCGCCGCGTATACAAAAGACTCGGTCGGCATTTGCCAACCGGAGACATTTCAGGCGCCGTTGAGACATCCGGCTGTCTCTGAAGAGTCGAGTATACGCTGCAGCAGTTCAGCTATTACTGCTTTACAGTGCAGAGTCTTGGCCACTACGGGAACAGGATAAAAATATATTATCGATGTTCCAACACCGCTGTCTACGTCGCATTGCACGAGTCTGTTGGGGTAACCGGACAAGCAATGCTGAGGTTAGGCGTAGAGTTTATGCAGTGCCGGTCGTCCAATGAAACAAGTGATCGACCTCCATAGATTCCGTTAGTTGGGGCATGTTTTACGCATGTCCACAAATAGGTTGCCACGGCGAGAGATGCTTGCTGAGGCAGGTAGCGGTTGGAAAACGGTCAAGGGTGGTCAAACGAAGACCTGGCATGAGGGTATGTATATGTATATAAATTCTGAGTGATATGGCTGGATGTCGCAAACAGTGGCGGTCGTGCATCCACTCATTATTCCCCTAACACCATTCGATATGAATTCTCCATCTTCCGCTTGAATTTGCTTCAACATTCCACTCTTCTTTCTGCCGTGTTATCGAAATGAGGCACCAAAAGACAGCAACCAAAACCGGCGCACGAAAGTGCATGGTTATTGACTGTAAAACCTGAACCTGAATGCTTTTCCCATGGGAAGAATAATGTCAGGTTATCTGCCAGGAAGCATGTGAATTTCCTCGTGGATTCACAACTAGAACCTATGGTGAACGGAAAGCGGATCGAAAAGGCAGCGGGTCGGTGTGGAAAACCCTGGGACACTGAGTTTTCAAACCCGTCTGGATGAGTTTACCTTCCATCACGCATTACTCGAGCCACAACCACGGTATNGTATCCCGTATCATTAGAAAAAATATCGCGAGTAGAAGACGTCATCTAGTCTAGAGTATGCAGATAGCATTATGCATTCAGATGAATATCTGGCTCAGTTACGAGATTTCTGGATGGTTTGAGTGTTAGCATAGTCATGTTCCGCAGGTTGTTCGCATCCTTTAAGTGTTGACACATGACTGGGTTGGTTGCGATTTCGGCAGCTTAACGTCACCTGGCGCAGAAATCACGGAAAAATAAGGTCAGCGCTCATAGAGAAAAGCATCGGTTGGTGTTTGCAAATTTGATATATCTAGGGTCTCATCAAAACATTCGATCGTTCGCGAGGTGTATGCTGTGGTAGAGTTCAGAGACCGGGTCGAACACTGGAGCAAGCGCCTGAACTCCACAGATTATGTTACCTGGAGCATGTATTAGGCATATCTCAGTGCACGATATTTGTCTCCACAGACAGTGGAACAATGGTACAGATGTCGAAGCAATACATGGCACGGGGACTTAAAAACCCTGATCATCTCATGTAATTGTGAGTGATGTGGGTGGGTGCAGTGAACAATGGCTCTCGTGGCTCTCTACTCAATTTCTTCACAACTTTAGTTTATCGAAATTCCCGATTTTCATCGTGATCCCGTATCCGGATTTCTACTTCTTTCTTGCACTTCTTCCACGAACCTTGGATTGCCAAAAGGTGAACACCAAAAGTACCGAGGAAAACTGCAAGTTTAATGGTTGTGTAAACTGGAACTGAAAATGAGAGTACCGTATACATGATTGCTTTAGCATTACAACACACTTTCGGTAAGAGCATTTCTCGCACTCAGTCCGGGTTTATAATGGGACGGGGGCGGGGGGAAGGTTGATTGTAATGAAAGTTGAGCTGATGTTAATAAAACCGGGAGGGGGTTGAATTGGCCAGAAAAAAATTGATACGTAAATTGCACCAAATGGAATGAGAATGAAGGACGGATACAAACAGGGCAATCGTGAACTATCGATCGTGCTGCGGTGGAATGTTCTCTCTGTGATTTTGTTTTATGTGAACAGATTTCAGTATCAACTCTCAAACAGATGTTTGCTCGAGTACCAAAAATGGTCGGAACCTGACAAAGAAGAAAATGATCAGTCACCCAAACTTTCAGAAAACCAAGGCCAAATTAGGAAGTAAGCGAGACATGAATCAAACACACGAATAGTAATCTGGACCAATTTGCCAAATGAAAAAAGAATGGGAGGAAAGCATTTCGTCGGAGCCTGGGAATGAGAACTGAATCAGCCTCGGGGAAAATTGAAGCAATCTTTCGAGTACGCGGGGTAAGTTGGCGATAGAAACCGAAATGTACAAAACCCCACAGACAAATCAAAACACAAAGCTGGCAACATATATGCACAGAAGGTGAGAATAAAGAAAGACATGGTGAGGCAGAGCTGAGAAAAAGAAGAACGGAATTCAGTGAAGCCACGCACACGCACAAATGAATACAGAGAAATAATCGATAAGCGTAAATCCACTTACGTCGCTTACGTTTTGCTACAAAAATTAGTGAACAAAAAGAGAGAAGAAACACGGTATAAGCTCGTTTACTCGAAACGCTGTGCTCCATATATCCTCACCCCATCCCCCGTGAAAGAAGTGATAATGAGCTGGACGAGAATGAAGCCGTCTGCCACTACAGTTGGGTGCTGCAGATGACACGGAGCACGCTGTCGGGTGATGAAAACCGATGGAAGATCAGGAATCAGTTTCAGTTTTCCCAACCTGAAATGGTTCGCAAACATGCCACGTAATCCTCAATGTTCACGATCAAACACAAGATTCAGCACCGTGTACAATCGACCATCAAGGGAAACTACCTGAGCGACGGAAAACCGTTTTACGTGACGAATGAAAATGGTAAACGAGATACGGAACTGAAACAAGGGCATTCCTAACTTCACGCTCCCAACTTACGCCAGAGAAAAATGGTCGAACTTTGATCATGGGACAGTTTCGCTGTCTTTCAGGTTACTAAAACATTTTATGATGCGGTTCGACCAATTCCGGCAAGTAAAAGCCACCATTATAACCGACCAGGAGCATGTGGACGATATTGTCATTATGATTGATGAAATAACCCACGTTCAGTTGGCTTCGGACCACGTAGAATGCTTGCGATGGTGCTCGGTTTAAAGATCAATAAATTAAAGGTAACCACATTTTCTCCGCATGCGGTAACACACGCATACAGTCAACCAGGCGAGTGTTTCAGCTCCAGGAGAGAAAGAGAACAGAGAAGGGCATAGACACTGCCAGAAGGGCGTTTCTACCTCTCTACTAATCGTTCTGGTTTGGCCACGCAATGAGTCCCCAGAATAAACTTCGTGTTGACTGGGTAACCACCTGTTCGGCACTGATCTGCGGTTGATAGACTTGACCAAAAACGTATCGAAGATGTAACAAAGTCGGGTATTTGATCACTAGTTCCTCCGGCGGATCGTTGACGTTTTTTGGGTGCAACTCATTAACAAATTGCTCCCTAGGGCGACATTGCTGCAACAACAAAAATGACTACCATTGTTCGGTCCCGTTCAACACGATTCAACTATGGCACTTGAAACAATGCACTGTTTCACTCCACTCTCCGCCCGCCAAGCCCGATTAGTGATTCCGCTATGTTGAGCAGTTTAAAACACAACTCAGCACCGCTGGGAGCCCGAACGGTCTGTCAAACCAGGTCTGCGCTAACCTTATCTCCCACTGCTTTGTGTGGTCAGTTGCTATCCGAGATACCCATGAAGTCACCTTATTGCATTGAGGAGTCCGCGAAAGCGTGCCATTGATGCGCGCACTTTCTCTTGTTTGTGACGATGAGATACTGCAACATAAAGTGGTAAAAACCACAATACCAACCTATAAATAGTCCGCCTTTATCCGATGTATTGCTGCCGTAAGGGATCTGTGGATTCGTTGTGATATACACCGATTCGTGACACCAGTTCTGTTGCACCTTAAATAAACAGTCGTCACGTTTTCCAACAACGCTTTCAATAAGGGGGCACCAGAAGGATCAAAGTCGTAATCAGACGCAAACTATGCGATATTCGAACATTAAAAAATTGGTTATTTTACTACCCGGAATATACAAAATTGAAGAACGCAGTTTAGCGAACATGCTTATTTTCGGTCACCACCAATAAGCTTGTGCCGTAATGTTAACCTTGGCTAATCAACTTGGTCAGGCAGGTTCTGTGACGCTTCCGGACCGAGAACCGTGAAACCGACGTGATCAATGAAGGCATGTACCAGGGGATTGTGATCCCCTGTGTTTACTCACTTTTCTTATAACTTTTTCATATCTTTTTTCTCGACGTCTTGGTGACATTCTCAGGAACGTTTTATGCCTTACCTGCCGATCACATAGATTAAGAGGAAAACAGTATCCAAAACCTGCACACTGAGTTTTAGTGTGACTCAAGTGAATACCACAAACGAAGCACACACACACACCTTCAAACTGCCGATCATAAACTCCGACTGTACAAGCACCAATGTGACACTCATGCTTCTCGATTATATAATTTTGCTTTCATTGCGTCAGACCGACTGACTTGCGTTTCTATCCAATGTACACCACTGCACAAACTTACATACCACAATCATCTGACAAACTTGCATAGCTGTAGCACAGGACAACGATATCGATTGAGATAAATTGTGACGAGTTGTAAAACAAAAGCGAAAAAAAGCGGAGACCGGTTACACTTACTTCTGTCAACTTGTTAACAGTGGCCGCAAAGTTTAACTTTTCTTTTGCGTAGGCCTGAGTCATCTGTTCCAATTGATCCCGCAAACTCGCAACCTCACGACGGGCGACTGTTGCGCGGTGAGAAGCGGCCAATGCATTGTCTTCGGCGATCTGTGAGAAGAGGGGGAGAGATAGAGAGAAATCGGCATAGAAAGTGCAGATATGAGCTGAGTGTACAGCGTCAACGTGGACCTAGGTCTACTAGTTCCCAGAAATGAACAAATCTTAAATAATTCCTTAGTCAGCATAATGCGAACGTACCCGAGTGGCTTCACGATAACGCGTAGACCTTTGCTGTTCCTCGGTTAACGCACGCCTAGCGGCCTCGTAATCTTCGTGCGACCGCCGACAGGCTTTCTCGCTTGTTTCCAGCAACTCGCGAAGTTCATCTCGTTCTCGAGTCTGCAATACACATGGAAGTGCAGAATATTAACAGAAATGGACGACTAAAGCGGTACACATACAGGTAGCCTAGCACACAGGAACCAGAAGGTACAAAACACCATCTTGGATTAATACAAACCCACCCTGGACAGTAGAGAACCTTAAATCAACTGCATGGTGAAAAAGCAAAAAATATAATGGAAGAGTATAAAACTGGGGCACAAAAGTCATCATCGGCCCATAGGTGCATAATCAATTTCGCACCAGATGTTACCCAGTTGTTTCTCTCACTCTCTTTATTTATAATTTACAGAGTAGAATCATTCTGGACAAAAAAGATAATAATGCTTTCGCGAAACGCCCTTCTCCATGGTGTTGACAATTCCTTCTCGACATTCAGTTGCGTCAAGCACCAAAGCTTTGATTTACTGTTCACCTAACCCAAACACGTGATCAAGGGTACAGACTGGACGGTATCTATCACCGATTATCTATCCGCATAGGAGACAATGACATACTGATCGATTTGTCGCGGTGGGGAGGAGAGTGATAAACAATATCGATGAAATATTAGTGCAGGAACGATGGGGCAAAGTACTTCGAACGTCAGAAGAGAGACAGAACAGAAAGTATACAAAGACAAGCCAATGAATCAGTGGTAAACATATCCCGACAAACAAGGAGTAGATGGCCAGCGAGTGCAAATACACCACTTTTACGAGGACGATATAACTAAACTAAACTATGCGCCACCCTGGTACAAGTGCGGTGAATGACCAGACATAAACAATTCGAAGACGATGTATGTTCGTTTTGCCAAAATAGTACAAAAAAATGGAAAGGAATACTTAGCCCCTATTTCTGACGCCAAGGATGCGGTGTGCGTGGACGCTTCTAGTAACCCCATGAATAATTGCAATGATTGTTGGCTCCGCAACAGGACGCGTCGAAAATCACGCAGAATCAGTGTTCGCATCTAACAAACTGTTCGGTCTCAACTGAGACACGTTGTCTAAACAATGAAGGTTATCATCACATCACCTCATTGTGTCATGTAATCAAAATCCACCATCGCCGCCTGACTTCTACAAATCTTCGAATATCAAAGCAGCCCTTTGATTGACCGCCTCTCGTCTCAGAAAATAGATGATACCGTGGTTTAGGAAACATGAGATAGTGGATTATAATTATGGTATAGGTATCCCATTCATCATTTTTAGAGGTTACTAGAGAAAGTGAGAAACAGACAACGGATTTTCGTCAAGTGTTGGTCATAAAAGAACAGTAGACTCACCCTATGTAACACAGAACTACTACTGTGTTCTGAGAACACAGTCAAAAGCCTAGACAAATAACCAGTTCGTTTTGGACTGATCCGATCGGATTTGTGTTTATGTTCAAAATAACTGGAAAAAGATTGGTGCATGATTCACTGCGGTCATTTACTGCAACTGGTCCAATGTCCAGCAAAAATCCGAGAATCTGGTTCACAACTTATGAACTGGCAAAGCGAATTCATTGTGCGCACTGGGGATCGAACAGGAGGCGGAAAAACTGGTAAAACATCAGATATGCACACCCGTTTAAAACACCTCCGATTGCGAGCGGGGACCTTGTTCTCGCCCTGCAGAACCAGTGCTACCACAGAGTGAGTTTATTAAAGCATGTACACTCAAGATTCGTACACCAACGCATACAGGACAGCAGGCTACTCTAGTGAGAATACGACAAAATATTGGTGTGGATATTCGTTGTGTCCACCAAACGCATTTAAGAACCCAACAAGCTTGAAATTCCCACTCAAAATTGGATGCAGCCTATCTGCGCTTTTCCAAGGTCCAAGGGATAATATTAGTCAGGTCGGAGTGATATTCAATCCTAACCACAAGGTTGAAAGAAACCTATTGGACTGAATTGCGGTCGATCGTGTATGGTGTATGGTGAACCGTGAAGGTTCATGCAATGTCGTCCGAAAACAAAATAAACGACAATATGTTCGCATAGAATCAACACACAGTCCAACTGGCTGCAGTCCGGAAGAAATTCGGGATGTATTCTATTCACACTGGAATGGACTGTATCAAAATGTATACAGCACAGAAATCATGGAACTAGTCGGAGATCTGAACACTACAATAACTCCACTTGGGAAGTCATTTTAAATTTTGCAGCCAACACTCGGACAATCAGAAAAGGATTTTAAATATCTGTTCTGATCACCGGCTTCACCCGAGATTGTACTTGTGACTTCAGAGGCAGACGACTGGTGTGTCTGCAACAGATGACTGCGGTACTTCTTGTACGTTCCGAAAAAGACTATCAATCTCATCAGAAACCAGTAATACTTGGAAGACATCGTTGATCGATTGTATATCAAAGCATATCAGTATCAGTATATTAGAATCACTAAGCCGTCAGTCTTAACAAGAGCTTCCAGAAGTTACAAATCAGCAACATACGGAACCTGACTACCCAGCTGATAATATTATATAT